TAGAAAATTACAGATTTTTTTTTTTTAAATGATCAGTAATCTTTGTGGCGACAACCATAGCCCTCTCTTGAATATGCACAAGTACATTACTATGCTATAAATAACTTCGAGCTTTTGATGAGCCTTTGGATTTTTTTCCCCTTAATTAATTTCCAAAAAAGAATGCTGAATGGGCTATTTGCATTGATGATCCTAAAATACGTAACTTGAGTAGTGATCTGGCATTTTATAAAAAGTAATATTATGTTTCTTTCTCGGCATTAAATAATAATAATAATAATAATTCGTTGAATTAATAATTAAAAACTGTGAATGGATGGGAAAGTGTTTAGCACAATTCATTTTAAAACAGTGAGAAACCTATTTAAAAGTACTTTAAAATTTGTATTTTTCAAATGTATTAATAATATAGAAACGATGAATCTATTTTCTTTTAAGTCACAAGTAGGATTTATTTATAAAAAAGCCTATAAAGTTGCTATAAAGAGGGAACTCTAATTTTTTAAGAAACCAAAAAAAAAAAAGAAAATACCAGATTGGATAAACTATAAAGGGTGTGGTTTAAGGTTCAATAATTGACGCGCGCGTCGACAGAATAAAGTGAATGAGCATAAAAACAAACCTGACAACTGGTATTCATGTTATCGGATTCGAACCTTATTAGCTCTATGAAATTTCGTCGGCACTTTACACATTGGCTGTGTTCATCCATTTTTATCCCCTCTATAATTATTTGTAGGAAAAACATTACTTTTATTCTTACACTTTACTTAAATTTTAATATAGATTTCTGTATTTTATTTTTAGTATATCAAATCCCTAACACTTTCTCCTGTCTCTAACATTAGTTTTTATATTTTTAAAGAAATATTAATGTGATATAGGTAGTGTTAATAATATTGATATGATAATTAACACCATTAATTTTATATTTATGCGTCAAACTGATGCTATCATTAAATTTTTTAATGAGTAAAAATTTTAAAAAAAGCCTACATTAGTTGAAGTAAAAAGACTCAGCTTGGAATTTTTAAAGGATCAGCAAAATACCTAAATTTCATGTAGGTTTTTTTTTTTAAATTGCTCATTAAAAATTTCTTATTAGTATCAGTTTGATACATAAGCAAAAAATTAACAGTGTTAATTGAAATATCAATATTATTGATATTATTTATATCACATTAACATTTCTTTGAAAGTGTAGGAACTAACATTGCGAACGGATGAAGGCGTGGAGACTTAAAATGTTAAAAAAAAATGTAAAAATTCATATCAAAATTCAAATAAAATACAAGAATTCAAAGTAGTGTTTTTCTTTATCTTTATTTTACCCGTGAGCTAGTTTATAAGTTTTCTATTTTTCTGGAAGTTTAAATATCGAATTATTTCGGTCGTGACTCAAACATTACAGCTTATTATAATTTTTTATATTGTTTATTAATGATTAATTCATATATATATATATATATATATATATCGGTATAATAGCTTGTTATTTGACAAAAAACAAGTTCCCTGAAGTATGTTCCTGCGTCATGCTTCCAACATTGAAGTCTTCTAGAGAAGAAAATGCTGGAATCTAAATGCCCTACATAATGTGATTTAATATAAATGCGTGGTTAAGAACTATCATTAAATATTGTTAAGTCAATTCATTGGTGGCCATACACGACAAACAAATTAAAGCTAAGCTCATTTTTTTCCTTGAACAGTACTTTTTGGAAGAAAAGTAACATCCCACCGAAATAAATGGACGTTAGACATATGTGGATTATATATCACTTTCCTGGGAAGTTGAAATTAACACTCCTTCCACCCCTTATGAATTTCATAACACCCTATTTTGAAATTTATGAATGCCAAGAAAATAGTTAAAAGTTATTGTTAGCTGATATCAAAAATTTGTGTGTGCTTCTTTCCAATTCTACCATTAATCAAATGTAATGACCTGCGCAATTCCAATTGCTCTTGTATAGAAGTTTAATCATTTATCAGGGGTATATTCGAAAGTATATATTTTATAATTCTTTCTAAAATTGTGAAAATAATTTTATTATACCCCTTAAAATCGGATCTTATGAAAAGTGATGTGATCAAGCTGCATTAGTTAATTGCTGGTAAAAAGAAAAAACTGCATTAGTTAATAAAAAAATATGTGATTATAAGAAGGGGAACAAAGATAACACTCTCTTCATCACAAATTATAAAATTTTGATTAGAAATATTTAATATTTTAAAATATAAGATATTTTAACAAAAATAAAGTTTTATAAATAATTTTTTTAATACTACCTTTCACATATATTATTTTATGAATAGAACATTAAATGAAAGGAATTTTTAAAAATTTATATTTTTATTTTAAAAGTGTAAAGTTTTAAAGTGTATTTAATAAATTTTATTGATATGCGTGATTTAATATAAAAGTGTGTTATAAATTGAAATGAAAGAAATAAAATTTTTTACACCTTAAATGTGTCCCAATAATCAATCTAATTCCAGAAATTTAATATTTTTTAATCAAGTTCCTAAAATTTTAACATCATAAACAGCTGGTCCTATATGGTTTCAAGAGAGAATAACATTATAAAGATTAATCGTGGATATTATATTTTAGGAACCAAATTAATAATTAAAATAAATTTAAATGTCAAAAGTTTCACTTTTAGGTTTCAAGGAAAAAATATTTCTGAATGTTCAATGACAGTGATTGATGAGTTGCATTCGTCCATAAGAAGAAAATGTTGGAAATTGAATTTCGTGTAGTGTGTGGAAACAAGTTGTGGAAATTGTTCGAAATTGAATTTCGTGTAGTGTGTGGAAACAAGCTGCCAACGGAGGCCAAAGAGACCATTTGAAGGGCGTGATACCCTCCAGGATGGGTCACGTTCACTTGTCACAACCCTATAATTAATCCAAAGGTAAAACATTAAAAGGGAGACTCAACTTCTTTGTCAAAGACACATTATTAAAAGGTGAGGACCTACCAGAATGGCATTTCACATAAATATATTCCAAGGACACAGCTTAGGGACAACAGCCTATAGAACAAGGCCTTTATGTTCGAAAATGAAAGCCTAACAACACCATTCCTAGCTCACAAGTTGCCCGCTAATGTTTTCACCAAACTCTTACTTTCACGTATTCCTTTTATTTAAAAATATAATATATTTTTAATTAAATTTTATTTTTTAATAAATTAATTATTTATTTTTAAGTTAATTATATCATTTTATATTTATTTCTATTAAAAATTTTATAATAAATATAAAGTTACTATCAATAAACGCATTTTAAAAAAAAAGAGAATGCTTACACCCCGAAAAGCTAAAAATGCCTTATATTTTTTAATATCTAACTCCTCAAAAAATACTTTATTTTTTAAATAGAGGGAGTATAAAATTACAACTATATAATTTTTTTTGGGAATGATTTTAAAAAATTCCCTTTAAATATGAGGATGGCAAATTGACAATTAACTATTATGAAATGTGATAATTATTATTTGAGAAAATACATTGTCTTTATAATTTAATTGAATTTTGTTTTTAGTTCTTGTGGTTTTTTTAATATTTTTAACCCTTGTAAAGATTGAAAACACTTCCTTATAAGAATTGAAAATATTGAAATTGTAAGAACTTGAATAACAAATATCATATAATCTTGTTAAAATTGTAGAAATTGAAAACACTGGACAAAAACTAACTACAAGGACTACAAGTAAAAATTAATAAAACTATAAAGATCGATATTTGTATTTTCTCTTATTATTTAATGCATAGGGATTTACTTGGCATTTTGATTTTTGACAAAATGATATATTTAAACTCATGACTATCATATATTAAGAAATGACTATTTTGATTAGGTTATTAAGTACAACAGGCTAAAAAAAATATTTTTTTTGTAAATTTATTTTTCAATCAAGTGTAACTAGAGCAATCATTTTTAAGAAGGAAGTAATTATTTTCTAATTCATTTATAGATCACAAATTTGCATAAAAGAAGTAATTATTTTCTATTCTATTTCAGTTAATAGCCCAACCAAAATAATTATTTTTCAATGCATAATAGTCCCCAATTTTTAATATTTGTATTTGACTAATAAACAAAATTTATAGAATTAAATTAGTTATCTTATTTTCATTTTATAGTTAATAATCCAATCAAAATAGTCATTTCTTGATACGTAACAATCACCGAGGACAAATATATCATTTCATTAAAATTCAAAATGTTAAACAAGTTTACAAGGACTAAGTAATAATTACCATATTTTACCGTACTTAATTGTTATTTTCATATTTTAGATTTATTTTTGTTGTCATTCTTCCTGAATTTTTCTACAAAGACTTTCATTTTTTTCTTGAAATTAATAAAATAATTTGAAAAGATTCAAAATTAAGAAGAACATGTATTATTATTTGCATTTAATCCTTGAACTAGATTCTTTTGACCCAAATAAAAAATCCTTAAACTAGATCGAGGCAAAATAAAAAGAGGAATGTGCTTAAAAAAATTTCATTGCTCACAGTTCATGAATATTTCAAATGTTTTGATGCATACAAGGGACATACAAATTTTTTATTTTCTTAGTACTCTTTAATTACTCTGATAAAAATTATATAATTTACCTCTCCTTTTCTATTATCCACAAGTGTCATCTTATTTGAAGCTCTGGCTCTTTTTGTTTGTTTGTTTTTTTTTTTTTTTTTTTGCTCTCTTATCCTGTTCTCCTAACTTGTGACCTTGCCTTAGCAATATAAAACTGACTGAATTAATTTTTCTATTTAAAAACATGTTTATGAAATTTATCATATAAATAATATCTAAGATGAAAGTTTTAATATGTCTAAGAGATGAAAGTACTGACATTTTTAAAAAAATGATAAGTTATAACATAGCCATATTTTTGTTTGAAATAATAATCTTTCCCTTCATTTCTGTTAAACCAAACACATTTCCTTCTTTTATTTTTAGTTTCAAAAAAGCGCCCTGACCGTACTGTGATGGGCGTTTCATGGTGGACTCGAGGCTCGTGGTCCTTGACTTGCCCTTCCTTATCTTCGAAAGTTCTATTAAACTCACTCAATACTTCCTTGAACCTAACTCGCAACGATGGCTGCAATCTCTTTCTGTATCTTTTCACTCATACTGTCTTCTTCCTTGCTTCACTCTTCACTCTCTGCTTTTTCTGCCGAACTCCCTCGCTCCGAAAGAGAAGCATTGGAGATCATCATCGGCGGCGGAGGAGCTCCTTCCCCTTCCGACGACTCTCCTCCCGCCGACTGCCTGTCCCCCTTTCTGGTGAAAGCTCGCCAAGTGCTTCTGAACTTCGCCAAAACCATTGACGACCCCAATTGCTTTACCAGCACCTGGGATCCCAATGACACCCCTTGTAACTACAAGGGTGTTAAATGCGATGCGTATCCAAACCAAAATAAAGACCAAGCCGTTTCAGGATTAGATTTCAACCAAGCTGGGTTCTCTGGCCTCAAAGGTTCAAGCTTGCGTCTTTCAGGAATCCTGGACTCCATTCCAGAATTAACATTCTTCCATGTCAACTCCAACAATTTTTCCGGAGAGGTCCCCAAAAAAATCATGGAATACAAATTTTTCTTCGAGCTCGACTTGAGCAACAACAGGCTCCAGGGTTGTTTCCCAATGGAAGTCCTCTCTAATAATGATAAACTCCTTTTCTTAGATCTCAGGTTCAATAGTCTCACCGGACCAGTCCCTCCAGAGCTCTTCACCAGGGATCTAGACGTCATCTTCATCAACAACAACCAATTCAGCGGCAACCTTCCATGGAATTTCGGCCACACACGTGCCAGATACCTCACATTCGCCAACAACAGGTTCACCGGACGGATCCCAAGAAGCATCGGCAACACGTCAAAAACCTTGACGGAAGTTCTCTTCTTGGGAAACCAGTTTTCTGGGTGCTTACCTTACGAGGTCGGGTTCCTGAAAAAGGCCACCGTCTTCGATGTTAGCAATAACTCATTGACGGGTCCGATCCCAGAGTCCTTCGCTTGCTTGGAGAAGATTCGGTTCTTGAACTTAGCTCACAACAAATTCTACGGCGCCGTTCCGGAATCAGTGTGCGAGCTTCCTGGAATCCGCAACGATGGGAATCTGACCTTGAGGGGTAACTATTTCACTGAAGTTGGACCTATATGCTGGAAGCTGATAAAATCAAAGGTGCTTGATGTGAGCCAGAATTGCATAAAGGGCCTTCCGAACCAGAAATCGCCAGAAGAATGTTACAAGTTTCTGTCCTGTGTGAAGCCATGCGCGGATGAACAGTCTCTCAAGGTGGTTCCATGTAGGAAATACTATCCCAAGTACGATGAAACGGCTTCGCCTCCGGCGCCGGTGACCTACGAGTCTCTGAAGCCGACACGGCATCGACTGATGTGAGCCAGACGATGTGGAGCTGCTGATTGTTGAGGCTTCCCTGTATCTTCTTCTTAGAAGTGTTCTTGAGTCGCGGGTTTATATATGTAATATTATATATTGTGAATTTTTCGTCTCTTGTGTCTAATTAAGATGGGGAATATTGATGAATAAGCATAAGCAGTGTAATGAAATTTGGCGTTCCTCGAGTCTAATAAGATGTTAATTTTATGATTTAGCAGATCTAAATTTGATTCGGCAATTGTATGAATGAAGCATATATATCTTAGAATGTAAATATATTTTTTATTCTCTTAGTTAACTAACTTAACTATGTATTTGCCGAGCTTTGGTTTTGGCATGAACGATACTCACGGAGATAATTAAAAATATACTTTTGAAATTGCATCTACGTTAAATTAATTCGTTGGTGAGATATCCACGTCTTCTCTATTTTTTCTTTGAAACAATCTAGTAGAGGATCTTCTCCCATATTTGGAGTTTGACTCCTCCTTCAAGTAAATTAATAATGAAGTGTCCTGTTTTTTTTATAGGAAAATGAAGTGTAAATTAATTAAGGGAGAAATGGGGGAAAATACAAAGAGAGTGAAAAGAGAAAAAAGAGTACAGTATACATATCCAATGCTCCTCCTTATAATTATTATTAACTTAATTAAGAAAATTTAAATTTTGATACTTATCAAGAGTGAACAAAAGATTTCAAAAATTTCATTCCTTGTGCCATGAAAATGATAAACAAATCAAGTCTACTATATGAATATAAAATACAAAATTTATAATAACAAGTCACAGATGTTACAAGTTAAGAACAGTACAATTTATAATTTTTTTTATAATGTATGCGCCTACTTATTCAGCTTTTTTTTTAAAAAAAACGTATTCTTTAGGATTTCAAGTAAAAGATGAAAATATTTTTCAAAACGTTAAAATCATATAGTAATATATATATATATATATATATATATAATGATATTTAGAACATAGATTGAAGTCTTCTCAATAATTCTTCGGTCATGCTTCTTATGCTATCTTCCGCGACGTTTCAAAAAAAGCAAAGATATAGAAAATATTTAATCACTTGCGATCCTACCACTTTTGAAGAAAAGAAAATTAAGCCCTTCGTGCCTTATCACAGTCTATGATAAAGCATATATATATATATATATATATATATTTTGTTGGCCCAGACTTGCAAGTTTTTGGTTTTGTTTTGAAGTTCATCTCTGCATCGAGGGCTAGATATCCACGTTGTGTTTTTTTTCTTTAAATTCAAATAAGTTTAGGTGAATTGACCAACACATACTTCTAAACTCAAACAACACTAATAAAAATACTTATATATTATTTATTATAAATTTATTATATTAATAATAAGACTTGATCTTATAACTTTATAAATTATGAGCTAAATCATTATTAACGGAATCAATATCTGTTGGTGGTTATGCATGTGTTGTTGGTTTTAGTGCATTTCAGCTCAATTACCCAACTAATGACAGTACTAATGTGAGCCGAAGCATGTTGGGCCGATTATTGTTACTGAGCCATAGCATATATTTTAGAGAAAATGGCACGCAAGGCCCCAGATCAAAAAAATTACCACCAAAGACGTAATACATTATAAATTTATTTTATAAGTCCAAAGGTCTTGTATACAAATATATTTTTTGATGAAAAATTGGATTGTCCCTCATTTGAAAAAATAATATCATGCGCAAGACATTATCTCACTAATGTAAGAACTCTGTCATATCATATACAAACATTTTGATATTCATGCACCTAGAAAACTTATATATTATTGTTTAACTAAACCACGCAAATTATGTATAATAAATAAATATTGTGTTATTAATATATGGATATTATTATGTTATATATATAACATTATTTATACACCTAAAAAATTTGTATATTATTGTTCAACACTTCAACAAAGCCACACAGATTATGTATAATAAACTAAAATTGTGTTGTTAAGATATGAACATTGTCAGTTATATATAAACATTTTATTATTCATGCACTAGAAAATTTTTTACATTTTTATTCAATTAAACCATATGAACTATATATAATAAACAGACATTATGTTATTAATGTATTGACCTTGTCATATTATATATGAGCATTCTATGTATATACACTCGGAAAACTTGTATGTTTCAAATGATAAGCAAATGAGTCTTTTTGCTAGGAAACATTATTTACATGTAAGGCTTTTGGGCTTGTAAAATCAATTCAAAATGTATTAGGCTTTTTGTGCAAATTTCTTTTATTCGGAGACATTAGGTGCCATTCCCCCTATATTTTAATTTCATTATCACGTGCCAGTGAGTACTGAATGCGCACTGGGAGAGATAAGCATAGGCATACCACTTTTCTAGAAAAGAAAATTAATTGAGCCCGTCATGCCTTTCCAGAACATCTGTTGCCAATATTTTTTTCGGAGGTCCAAAGTTGCAATAGTGGTATTACTTTTTGTGTTTTCGAAGGCTTGAAGTTTGGCCCAAATGCCTGCCTCAATGACAAGGCACAAATGTTTAGTTCTTAAATTGTTGGACATTTGAGAGCAATATTTTAAAACCCAAATCAAACAGTAAATTAAAAAAAATCAACAGTCATGAGTCTCATAGTTCAATCGGTTGGACCGACAACCTAATAATTAAATAAAAAATAACACACACACACACATTTAAAATACCATTGAAATCTTTAATACAACAAGTTAGCAAAAATACACCATCATCCAAGTCTTTCAAAACGCCCAAGTCATTAACACAACAAAAACACTGCAATATATTCTGGTTAAATCATTGACATAATGCAACAAGTTCACAAGTACAATAATCTGCAATCCATAAACCTAACATTATAAGATAATTAATACTTTCATCACTTATCAAAGATATTGGCAGATCTTTATTAATCCACTTGATTAATCCAAGCATGGTTAGGCTTGAAAGCATTCGCATTTGTATTGTAACTATCATCATCTTCCTGACCAAATGATCCTAAATCAATCCCTTCACCCTATACCACATTCACTCTTTGTTAATCATTTTTACAAACAAATGCATCAAAGTGATCAAACTAGATTAAAGCATTAACGAGAACAATGTAATAAAAGTGACAGTATGTAATAAAGCTCAAAAGATTCAAAAATTCAAACCTTCCTTTTCCTGTTGTGAAATAATGTGTTTACTCATTATAAAAGATATCTCCTTCTATTTCATCAACATGAAGTAAAGAAGGATCATCTTCTTCCATTACTCTATAGTCAATTTTATCAATGCTTTTAAAATCAACAGGTCAATTACTTTTCCCTTGTTAGCAACTCTAAAATACATATGACAATAGCAAACTATAAGAACTCATTTATCTAATCTTTATGAATGCAAATTAATACAAAGCTTTAAATCATATACCCATTCTTTAAGCGAAAATTGTAATGAACATATACAAGATCATTCAACCTTTTATGCTCCAATCTATTCCCTTTCTTGAAGTGTATTTTTTCAAAGATACTCCAATTCCTTTCACAACCTAATGAATATGCAGTTTGACTTAACAATTTAATAACTAAACTTTTAACATTCAGACAATTACTCTCAAAATATGGCTGTGAATACTGTATTTTGTCTAAACATATTTTACATTTAATAAAAATAATAATAAATTCAACAAAAAAAAAGAAATTTTAATAATACATATAAAAGGGGATGATATTCTTATGATTGAGAGGATGTATAGAACAGATTAATAATATACTTCCTCCTTTAAATAAGGAATTCAATGTTTAAAAATATAAAATATTTTTAATTTTTTAAAATATAATTATTATTATTTTTAGAAATGTTCTTATTAATAATAATTTTATAAGGTATTTAATAAAAATAAATATAAAAATATAAAATTAATTTAAAAATAAATAATTATTTTTTAAAAAATAAATTTTAATTAAAAATATTTTATATTTTTAAATTGAAAGAGTACATTGAACTTGAATATTGAGGATGTATAGAGGCAGATGCCGCCTCTGAAAAGACCTACTTTTTTCAAGGAAAGAACTAGTCCTATAAAAAGAAAAAAATCACACACACAAACTTATTTATTATGATTATAATTAATTTATTAATTATTTATAATAATAAGTTAAGACTACTAACAATTTAATAAGTTTAGTTTCTTGTATAGTCACATGCTTTGACTAATAATTTAATAATCTAGATTACTTGGATTGTAATTGAAATTTTTTTTCTTGTTAAAAATTATTATGAATTTATTATAATTATAAGTATTTTTTTAATTTAATTTATTAAATTGAAATGGATGATTGGCTTTCATAGAGGAAGAAAAAAAACTAAGTGAGTATTGAACTTACAAAACCAGTCTTCCAAACTTATAAATTAAGTCCGATCTTATTAATTTTTAAATTATCACTAAACTAAATTAGATTATGTACTGCCTAATGTAGTTGTTTTTATAAAAGACGCCAAATTTTGAGTTATGACGAAATTCAATCCCGTTTAACCTTTTGTGCAACCCTGATGAATATGTATCCGAAAGAAACAAAACAGAGAGATTATTAACAGCAAAACTGACGACAGAGCAGGCTGGTATTTGTAAAAATAGTAAATTTAATTATACCTCTTCGCCTTCAACGAGAAGCTCTTGTGCGACTGTGGTCTCCACTTCCCAAAAAACAAAAAGACAAAAACATACACGTCGACTGTATTATCCCTCCAATTGTCCTTGATATAGGATAACCACAAATTCCAATTATTTCTTTTTCACAACTTCAAATATCACATCATTGCATTGCATTGTAGCCTACCTAGAATTCTACTGCTTCAACGCTCCCCAGGTATGATATTCTTCTGAGATATAAAAGGGGATTTTTCTGGGACAAAGAGGGGGAGATCTTTTCTGAACAAGAGACAGAAAGGGGAGCGATTTTTTTGAAGAGCAGAGCTTCGAGAGCTTTGAGAAAGAGAAAACCAAGAGAGCACGGGAGAATTTGATTCAGAGATGTACAATATTAAAAGGAAGAGGATGATTGAGAGGAAGGAAGCACAACATGGCAGAGGGAGAGACCAAACGTTCAATGAGGAAGAAGGAACAATTGAATATGCCCGTCTATGTTAAAAGGTTCGAAACCAATCTTGAGTCTGATTTACTAAATATTTTGATTTTTCGACTATTTCTATATCCTAT